CTGGCCCACCAGGGCCATGCCATATGCTTCTTGGCTTCAGGTATTTCTGATATTGCTTCTTGATATCTGCACTGCAGAGATTGACATTTTCATTTTTGTTCACCTTCCTGGACTAGGCTGTCACTCACCAAAACCCGTGTCCTCTTCTCAGCATGTAGCTGTCCCACACTTTTCAGCCTCCTCTGCAGTTGGCTGAATGTGCCCAGATTCCTCGCGGAATACACGCCACTCCCAACCTTGCTGTAGACATCTCCTCCACAGTGAGACATCTTCTCACCATTCTCCTTTCCAGTCATTGGATGCACAGCAGAGACAGGAGAGCCACACCAGAGGAGATACCCAGGCTCAGCACAGCAGATGGAAGCAGGTCTCTGTGGCCAGGTGGGGAGACAGCTGGGGTTATGTTCAGTTGCTGAGGTTTGAGGGCTTATTTGCTTTATGGATTATAACTTCAATCAAATTTCAAAATGCTTCTTAATTTAAATATATATCTACTTAATGGGTGAATTTATATCCTTTCTGCCCTCTCCCTATTTTGAAGGAGGGACTAGTGAGGATCTATTAGATGCTGCATCTTCCTTTATTTAGCCACATGCTTACAAATGCACATTCTTGGGTGCTACCCCAACCTCGTACATCAGAATCTCCGGACAAGCCACGTGGTGATCTAATGTTAGGACAGTGCAGGTGTCAGGGCTATCAACAGCCCAGTTAGGGAAGCAGGAGTTAGGAATGACTGGCATTGTCATGGATGGGAAATTGCAGATGTCTGGTTTCTAAAGTTTTCCATTTTAAGAAGAATTTTTCTTTGCTGGAAAGTGATTTCCTTCAGTCTTACATTTTCTCACCTGTTTGGCTTATTCAGTTATTTTTCTCCCTTGGAGGAAAATGCGTAGGCGTTAAAGCCTTTTAAAACTTCACTTTCTGTCACTGGTGATCTGTAAATTTTTGCACCTTGCTCTAAAGATGTCCAGTGCTCCCTCTGGGCAGCATGAACCCTGGAGCAGCCGTGCAAATGAAGATGGAGAGGAGGACTGCAGGGTCCTCGGCAGCCGGAGCCAGTCAGCCTCATGTGCGACCTCGCCCCCTCTGATGTGTGAATTTAACTTGTCCTTTCTCATCAGGCCCATATTAAAGCAAAAGAGAGCTCAAGGCAGAGAATGAGAATCTGCCGACTAACATAATGAAGTAACTGGGAGCTTCCTAACAGAAATAAGGCACCTGTCACTCATCAGTCAAGTGTTTCTGCTTCACTTTTGCAAAGAGAGATGGGACACCAAGGCTTATCTTTCCCAGGAAGCAACTTTATTTGTGCTGGCATGGGCCCAGTGGACTAAAACTCAAAAGGCTGAACCCAGATCAAGGCAGACTTTTGCCTTTTATGCAATGTTTGTGTCTTTATCTTCCTTAAAGGGTAACACACTGACCAGCTCAAGCCTGACTGGGGACAGTCTATACCACAGAGCTGTACAGAACTGCACACTATATCTAGGAGCTAATGGCAACGCTGCCTTTCTTTGTTCTGAGAAGGGGCCCTCTCTGCACTCTTTTGGTGGGGCCTTGCCCCACTTTCTGTCCTGCAAAAGCCTTCTCTCTACATTTCCTCACTGAAACACCTGAGCTACTTCTGTTTTGCCCAATTCATGACCTGCTATGTGCATAAATAAGTTGCTTAAAATTTTGTTACACTTAACAAGAAGACCGGAGCCTGCATTTAGCTGGGGATGCCCACATTTGCTATTTCACTCAACAGCAGTGGTTTTCTGCTCTGTAGTTGGTGGCACAGCAGGAGATTTATGCTTTATTCCATAACTGAAGAGAGAGGTGTCGCCAAGGAGGGTGAGGGGGACAGATCAAAGGCGAGTGTCCAGAAACTTCACAACCTTCTTTTTGATAAATAAATAAGCCTTTGTTAACACCTAAGCTCCTCTGACATGTATTACTTTTGCCATGTCATCCCTTTACAAGAGCTATTTAAAAATATGGCTTAAATTGATTAGAAAGTTTGAGTGTGTTTATGCACTATTGATTGGACCACAGATTGGTATTTGATCTAACAAAATCACTTGTTTCTAGGCTACTGAAAAATCTATGAGAACGGCTGAAATGCTGGGCTAACTGGCCTGGCAGGGCAGCTGCTGCACGGCCTGCCGCAGCAATGACACAGCACCCTAAGTGCGCACCTGGCCTGGAGAGAGGCTAGGAGGGCTCCCATCTGAACGACTTTCCTCTCCGATTGAAAGGGGAAGAGCAGAGCTGCCCCCCAGCAGCTCAAGGGTGCGAGGGACACAGTGCAGTGGACCCAGCTCTGAGGCAGCTGGCGTCTCACAGGGTGGCTCTGCCTCCGACAGAGTCCTCCTCTCCAGATCACAGTGTTTTGATTTCTTCTCAGGCCTTAACCCACTGTTTCTGAAGGTGAAACCGTGCCACGAGCCCTACTCTTGGATTTCATGGTTCCCAGTGCGACTGGGGACCCCACATCTACAGCAACATTCCCCACCACCACCTGCAGCCTGCCATGAGCTCTGGGGCGCTGCACTCCTCGCTAACCGTTTTCTCAGTCTTCAGGGGATGGGGGCTCCCAGGTTCTCCTGCCAGGGTTAGATGGCAGCCAGATGGGATGCACATGATCCACTTCGTCAGTGTTCTCAGCTTCCGAAGATGCTCATGTTCTATGTGGCATTAGTAAACTGTTGAATCTCAACTTCTTTGATGAGTAGGTCCCTGCAAATCTTGTTTCAATAGTTATTTTACTTTAATAACTGTTGATAATTATCTGGAACACAAACCCCTGGTGATATTTAATTTCTTTATATATAAATACAGTCATATCAGCTTTAAAGATGATCCCTTTTGGTTCCAACCCCTTAAAATAAATTACCCTGTGCGTTGATTACCATGCAACCTTCTTGCGAATCCCTGCTGTCTGCACAGGAAAGAGACCTTGCTGCTCCTTCTGAGCTTGACTGCTTGGGGCCTGGGGGAATAGGGCATGGTCTCGTGCTTGACACCAGTGTCGCCTGGGAGGCTGGTGCTCCAGGGGAAGGCATGAAGGATTGTTCAAGAACAGAAGCAGCATCTGGCATGCGGCAGAGTCCCACTGCCACTCTGTGGAGTCTCTGGACTTGCCGTGAGGTCACGGGTGTGGCCGTGGTCACTACCACTCCTCTTTATGCAGAAGAAAGTCTCGGTCGCTAACTCACAAATCAAGCACCCAAGTGAAAGAGCGCATCCTCTGTGCCGGCTTTTAGCTCAGAGTGGCTATTATTGATTTACATGGGTCCTTGCCAGACAGGCTGAACTCGGAGTGCCATTAAGCACATTTTAAAGATAGCCTTTTGACAGTGAAGTCCTTTCCCAAACAGAAGTGGTTTTAAATGAATTGAATGTCTATCATACTAAAAGCATCGCCTCTGCTGTGTGCTACAGAGTCAAGGTTTGAAGAGACTGACTAGACAGTAGGAAAGGCAAAGACAGGAGTTTTTGAACACTTTGAAGTCTTATTTATAGCCTTTCAGCCTTTGCTCTGCATTTTGCTAGGTCTATAGTATAGGACCAGCCTCAGCTTTGTCATCGAAAATGGTTACAAAACTGGTGCTTCCATCACAAGCACTTCAAGGGCAGAATGGATCTAATGTGTGCACAATCAGTCCTCAGGAGATGCTAGCAGTTATTAAGATTCATTTCTGGAAGGTCCTTCAGCTTTGATCAGAAACCAGGGACTGATAGGTCCTGCCAGCCTGGGCCTCAGCTGTCTGTAACATAACATGACATCCGCCCAGCTGGGCACCGGACCCAGAGGAAATTTATCTCTCCCAGAGTAATTTCTGTGTTCTCCTCATTCCAGAGATAAATCTCCCGCTCCCTTTTGCTGCGTGTGCTGGGCCCTCTCAATCCCAAGACTCCACAACCATCCAGGCCTCCAACCCCAGCCCCAGTAAATCTTTCTGCCTCCTGTTTTACGCGGCAGATGCTCCTTCAGATCAGCAGTTGATATGTCATTCCTCCAAACTCCTTCCCCAGCCAGAACTGAAAAAGCAGTGCCACTTGTTGAGAGCTGCTGGACCCCTATGAAGCTCTCCCATCTGCTCAGTAAAGGCCTCTCCCTACTTGTCTCCTTTCTCCTGCACCACTTTGGCTTGACTGCCAAAAATACTCAATCAGGGACAACATCCCAATTCTAATATGGTGAGCGGATCAATGAGTATGCAGCCTTCACAGATGGAAGTGACCAAGGAAGTCATGATGGAGAATGCCCCGAATAGTACTCTTGCCTTCAGCCTGCATCTGCAAACCCACCACCGTGTAGAGAGGGGAGAGGCCCCTGTTAGGGTCCTAGAGAAGCAGGCAGAAGCAGCAGGGGACGTCTCCTAATCCTGGACCCTTCACACAGCCCTGAAGTGGAGCCGGACTGTAGAGGTCACAGCGGGTGCGGCAGGAGACCTGAAATAGTAGTTGTTTTGTTTTGTGTTGTTCCTTTGTTTGGTAAACTATGCCCAGTGCAAAAAGCCAAGGTGCAGACCTGAAGTCCTCCAGCGTCTGCTGTCCGCGGCGGTCAGTGTATTCAGCCCGGCCTGCATCTGAAGCCCGGCCTGCCGGGCAGTGCGGCTGCCACCCCTTCTCCTGGGAGCCGTCCTGAGGCATTTTAGGGTGCCCAGGCCTGGGCTCCCTGGGCGCTGACGGGCTGGACACAACCCAGAACACGCCCTTTAATTCACTTTCGCACCTCAAGTGAGGCCTTGCATGGTTGGCAGGGGCCGTGGGCACCCACCTCACATGGGTGGGGTGAAGGTCTCTGTTCCTAGGGTTTAGCAGAGGTAGAGGCAGGAGCCCACCTCCAGCCTTTAGGTGGTACTCAGTCCAGACTGGGCCTGCGTGGGGTGCCCTGGGGTGTGCATGTGACAGGGGCCTTGGCACTGCACCCTTCCACCCAGAAGGGCTCGCAGATCACCCGCCTTGCCCCAGCCCGCGCCCAGGCCAGAAAGAAGGGCTCGGCCAGGTTTCTGACAACAGGTGCGTTTATTGTATCAGAAGTACAAACGTAGGAATCCGAATACAAATGCAGAAGGCGACCGGGCTGCAGGCCCAGCTGGCTCCGGGCAGGGCAGGCGCCACCCAGGGCGCGGGGACAGGGCGTCGCCAAGGCACAAGGGGCGCAGGGCGCCCTGCTTCTCCGGACCGTCCTCCGTGAGGTGGGCAGCAGGGCCCCGGGCCAGCGGGTTTGCGGCCGAAGGTCTACGCCCGGGCCGGGGCTGATTCCAGATCCCTGGCACCCCCGCCTTCCTGCCCACCCGGCGGTGGCCTCTCTGCTGTCCTGCACCCCGCGGAGCGAGTCCCACCTGCCACTGCCCTGCGGCTGCTGAGCCACAGCGCTGTCCACTTCCGGTCATCACTGCTGCAGACCAAGGACCCAAAGGGTCAGACGGGACTCAAAGGAAAGCGCGGGCGCCAAGCCGGGCTCCAAACAAGGCTGGTTTGGATTCCAGACTGACTTTTTCTTGAAGTAAGAATGTGATCCCTCATCTTCAGGAAATGTAAAGATGGTCACGTTCTCGGGCTCTTTCTCCCTCTTTCTCTCCCTCCTTTCTTTTTGCCTTTGCCAGAGGCTTAGTAAGCTAATATTTTATCACTAGGAAACTGTGCTCCTTTCTACTGGTTTCAGCTAAATTTGGGGTGATGCGTAGAGCAGTGCACACAGTAATAAGTTACCCAGTTTACCACGGTACACACAGACACAAATGCACACATCACTGCATGTAAACGAAATATGGCCCCTTGGTCCAGTCCAGATGCAGGTCCCACCCTGCACACAGGACCCTCTTAGGATCCTCCACAGAACACACACCGTGACAGAGAACCTCTGCTCAGTCTGGAGCTGTCCATAAAGAAAGTGGGTAATTGTACAAACAGAGTAGCATGTAAACATTTTTCACCAGCACAAAATTAGCCATAGTAAAGGTCCAGAGTAATTGAAAGTGTCTCTCAGACTGCTTTAATAAAATAGTTGTTCTAAACTCAGATGATGTAATAGTAAACAGTATAAACTTCACTGCTACATATTATTCAGTGTCTATTTCTACTCAAACTAAAGAAGCCAAGATAAACCACTGCGAACTAAAGCCAGAACAGAATGATACGAAAAGCAGCATAATGACTGTTCTTTTAGGTAACAAAATTTGGTTTCCAAAGACGCAATTAACTTAGGGCAAAAACATTTCTAAGTAAATTCTGATGTTGTTTCTAAGAAAAGGACTGGAAAATCCACTGAGGATGAGGAGGATGAAGTCACCGAGAAACCAATGTTTGTGAGATGTGATGATTCAGGTGCTGCTGAGCAGGCAGAGGAGACAGAATTCTGGGGAAGAAGCAGGTCTGAAAACGTTTTAGGCAAGAAGACTTTGGGCTGGGATCTGTTTCCTATTGAAACTGAAGTAAAGCGTTCCTGTTGCTTCCTTGAATGTTTGTTGTAGCTTGGAGGAAACATTAACCCTTGCGTTGTGTCAGTGGTTCGGGTAAGAAGGGACTGGACGTGATGACCCTGGTGTGGAGGCACAAGCCTGTCTTATTCCATTAGAGACTCTGCCACATCTGGCTGAAAACTTGGAATTTCAGTCAGCAAAGTATGAGGACTTTCCGCCACATTATTTATCTTTTGGATACATCAAAAACCAGTTAAGACACTGTTTTTTAAAAGCCTGTCTGTGTCTTGCCAGTCCCCACCCTGGAAACCAAGCGCCCAATTGCTGTGACAGTCACCTGACAGCTGAGAGGACATGGGGGCCGGACAGGGGTCTCGATGCTCTGACCTCTTTATCAGAGTGTTCTGTGTATTGGGGGACCTTCTGTCAGTGATCAAAATATCCTCCCTGTTCTAAACATGAACAATATTTGACCAAAATCGGTTATCATTCATACTAGCCAAGTCAAAGCTCTCATATTTTATTTCTGAAAATCGGCTTTGGCAGTGGGTGAAGACTTTCTGATGGTTGCAGTAAATCTTTTATAAATCTAAAGCCAAGCACTCTCCTTCCCACAGATCTCCCTAGACTAGGGAACGAACTTCAGCTTCCAAAATGGTCCTCTAGGCAGGTGGAGAGGCTGGTTTTCCTGCTGATTAAGAAGTCTGTTAATCAAAATGGGAACCTCAATGGTCCATCCCAGCCATCGTGGAAGGCCTTGTTGGGAACAATGTGTCTGTGTGCCCAAGGAACCAGAACTCAGCCGAGAAGCTCAACCTGTGTTCGGCGGCCTCTCCTCTTGCCTTCATCCTTTCTCTGTCCATTTTGATTACTGCAATGTCTATAAAGTGACATTAAAATTATCTTCCCTTAGATAAGTTGGGAGCGTACTCTCAAAATTGATGTGCATTGTAAAAATTTTTGATGACAAATTAGGACTTTAATCTTTTTTGTGAAAAAGTGGTCAATGGCAAGACTGTCATTTTGAGAAGTCTAGTAACTTGGGGGTTGAAATAACCAAGCTACCAGCTCCTGAAGGAACTTCAACCAGAGAGGCAGCAGGAGAAGCCTGGTCTAAGGCTGTTGTGAGAAATGTGAATATTAGTTTCCCCTCCGAGTCTGCAGGGACTGGTTCCAGGAGTACTGTGGAGTGAAATCCAGGGACACTCTAGCCCCATAATAAAAATGGAGCAGTGTTTTCACAGAACCCACACGATACTTCTAAGTGCTTTATCATCTTCAAATGACTTACGTATGCCAACATTGGCATAGGTAACATATGCCAATGCTGTGCAAGTAGCCATTTAGTGAATAATGGCAAGGGGGCAGAATCTGTACCTGTTCAGTACAGGATCAACTTAAAAACAATTCCACTCTTCGTTGGTTTAAATCCTAGACTCAGAACCTGCAGATACACAGGGCAGACTGTATTTTGTTAAGAAAAAACAAAATTCTGAATATTTGGAAAAGAGCAAAATATACCATCCCAGGACTAGATTTTTTCTCCCTATGATAAAAGAAATCTATTTTTATAGTAAAAGCTAAATTTAATAATAGATCAGACATGTGGCTTATGTATCCCAAACTGTTTGTTATTTTTTACTTTTTGGGATCTATCAGATGTGAAACACAAATGTAAAGCTCCTGCTCAGCTCTGCAAGCCTGAATGTTTCTGCCGGGCCAAACTGAGAGCAGGAAATTTATGGGATGATGCACTTCCTCAATTTGAAGTGGGCGCAGCAAAAAATGGTGAATTGAACATTTAGTGTGTAATCTTAATCTGTCTTCTATTATTTCCAGATACCTTTGTGAATATTTTTTAAAGGGATAGTGTTCTAAAACCCAAATGGATAATTTATCAGTATAATGGAGTTCCATATTTCAGTGTATATTTATTTACATAAGGTTCTGTTTTGTGATTTTTGTTTTGTTTTGTTTTGGTACCAGGGATGGAGCTGATGACCTTGCACTTGCCAGGCAGGTGCTTATGCCACTGAGCTAAATCCCTGGCCCCTATGTAAGATGTTGTTTATCTCCAGCGATTCACCATTTTTAACTAGACATTGAAGGTATGTTCTTACATGTGTAGTAACTTTCAGAAAAAGCACTCAGCTGTCAGACCAGAGTGAATGCAGAGGGATCAGTTTGTAAGCTCTGAACTAACTAACTTGCAGAATGATTGGCATGATGGCTGGAGACAGTTGTAATTCTTCAAGTCTTTAAGGAAATCACAAGAAGTTTTCAGTTTGGCATCTGAGATAAACATAACCAAGGAAAGGGAGGTTTTGTTTTGTGTTCTAGCCCTTTCAAAGAGAGTGGTGTTGCTTCCAGGTTGTGGCAAGCGCTAGTTAGTATCAAGTGGGGTGACTGGTTCCCCCCATGACATTTGCAGAGCTGCAAGGCATCGTGGCTGAAGCCTTTCTTACACTGCAGTGAACTATTCCAGGAGAATTATTCGATGTGGCTGCTCAGATCCCATCTCAAGGACTAGGTGACTGAGTACATCATGGAAATGCTTTGTCACTGAGGACAACCATTTCTTTAATCAAAGAATCCACAAAAATTCTGCACTTAACTGAGTTGATGTAAAATTAAGGGAAATATCATTTACAATATAAAGAGATGAAATCCTATTTTTATCTACGCATAAATGAAAGAGCTGGTTGCAGGAGATGGAAAATCTTTGTATTGTTTGAGCTTTTGTTTTTAAGGCATACTTCAGACGTATCGGGCAGTACTGGCTGGGTGCAGTGAATGCCCGGAACCCTGCCCTCCTTTTTCAGCATCTGGGGAGTCCTTGTTCTGGGAGGTGGTACTGAAACTTCCCAGCTCCGAGGAGCCTAGAATTTTCTGCTAAATTGCACTAACGTGTCAGACACTTTTTAGTTTTTCTTTTCTCCCTCACCCAGGATGAAGTTTAAAAGAGAGACAGTCACAGTTTTAGGAATGATCCACAGTGTTCAAAAATTTGGCATCATTATCAAAACGTGGAGTCATCATCTTGATTTAGAGTATTTCTGAAACTGGGGAACACTGCAGCACCTTCAAGATCCCTCAGACGTCTTCCACCCCAGGTGTCCCCCAATTCTACACGCAAAGCGAGCTGCGTAGAGCTGCATGGAAGAGATTGGGCCTGAGTGCCCACACATGCCCCCATGACCAGGCGCCCAGGCAAGGAGTGCTGCCAATGAAGGGGGCGCGTCTCCCGCTGTCTGCCCCACCCCTTCTCCTTCCTCCTCCAGAAGTAAACAGGAGCCAGCTTTCAAAGCCCCTGAGCTCTGCACCTGAGCAAGACACGCGTATCTCTCCTGCACTGTGGACGGAACAGATTCATCTCAGCAGTCGAGACTGATGGAGAGGACATCAGTATGCAGAGAAACGGTACTGGCCTGCTCTTGGGGGTTTCGGTTCTTTCTACTCGGACTTTGTGGTGGGTAGATTGCTAAATAGCCAGGCATCTATTTTATTCTCCACCGAGTGAACATCTCTTATACTTTTTGAGATAAAGGCTTTCCCTCATGTTACAGACACCATGAACGACTGTTTTCACCAAGCGGTGGCTGAGGTCAGGTAGAGAGAGGCGGGACACAGAAACAGAGGCTCTTGGTGCACCTCATCCTCCACGTCCTTTCCTACAGGTGCGTGGGAATTGTCAGTGACACCCGAATACCGAGAGGCTCTGCAAGAAGAGGGACCCATAGAATCATTTTTAGGGTAACATGCAACCAGATCTGTGCTATAAAAATGCTTTTGTTCTCTTTTCAAAGAGAATTTTACTAGCAAATTTTCTTTCTAGAACTTCTTTTAAAATGTAACAGGTTAAAATTCTTCATAAATTATGTTATAAATGTCCCATGCTGAAAGCTGTGTCTGTGTCACCTGCCCTCTATGCTTGGTACTCCGTAGTGTGACAGGTGTTCCTTCTGGTGGGACATCCAGATGAAGTCTGCCACAGGTGGGCCAGTCCATCATGCCTAAGGGACAGACTAGGTACCAGATGGGGAATTCTCCAGTACAGGAGACAGCTCACTCAAGCCATTATTTTCAACCTATTTCTCTACAAGTATTATTTTATTTTTTAAACTGAAGTTGCTAAATATATCCATTTGGCTTGTGGCTTGTATAGCAACTACCAAACCAGAAGACACAGTTGACAAGAAAAAAAATCACACAATGAGATTGGATGTCTCACACTGAGTAAATCTGATCCTTGAAAACTGATTAGTGGTATACTAATATTTTCACATCCACTCGATATACAACAATGTCAAAATGTTAATTTCAGTTTTTCTGGAACCTTCCACTCTTCTTCTCTGGTATACCTCCAATAAATTGTTTGAATCAGTGTTTTTATACACTTCCCCTATATAACATTTCACTTATTTTAGTAATGTTAGTATGCACTAGATAATTGAAAAACGAATAGTTTTCAATATAATCAATTTGGTTTTTGATATGAGAAAATTGGGAAGCAAAGAGATGCTAATACGAAACTTTTAATAATGCCAAAAACATTATTAACTACCTGGTAGGACTTTCCCCTTTCTACTGCTGAATAGAAGCTTCAAAAGATTCATATGAAGTACATATTTACTTCTAGTTATAACAACGAACTAATATTATGAAACAAATTGGATTTGTATTATAAAAATATCAAAGTATATTGGGGAATTTTTTTTCTTTGGGATTTTGCTAGTACAAAATGTTTTCTGCTCATCAAAATGTATAACTGGTGACAGCCATTACCTGCATTGTCTGCATCTAAAATTGGTTTAACTTGAAAATTAATATTTATTAAGAAAAATTTGAAATTCTACCTGATTTCTTTCATACTCTGGAATATGATTTCTCAAAGCAAAGGCTTGTACATGTTGTATCTCTCCTTTCCAGATGAAATTAATTACTGAACCATAACAACATAAGCTAGATACATACTTTGGGGTTAAATTTTGATCTAGTAAAACATAACTCTTCAGAGGAAATATTGAATTAAAGTTGAACTAATCCAGAAACCCAGCATTCAAATACGGTTGACTCTGAGTAGTCTGGAGGAAAGTAGTTACCTCCTGGAGTCCACGGATAATCAGTATCTTTGACTTCAGCAATATTAGAATTTTTTTCCCTAGTGGACACTTGTAGACATGTGCACACTCTTCCCAGACCTAGGGTGAGGTTGTTGGGGAAGGGAACTTGGTGCCAGAGCAAAAGAGGCTCCAGAGAAAAGAAACAGGACCAAGGCTCCCTGCAGATGGCACCGGAACCCTGCACCTGGTGCCCAGGCGGAGGCCAGCGTGAGTGCATCTCTGCTGGGAATGGTTCATACAAGTGGGTGCTGAAGCCAACGGTGCACAGGAGAGACACATAAGGGAGGGGGCCCCAACAGAGTCGCTCTAATATTTGCTTGCCTGTTCTACGGATTTCTTTGCAAAGCTAACTGGCAGCTGTTTCACTACGAAAACCATTCCAATACCAACAAATATCACCAAGCTACAGATTCAATAGGATTAGCAAGAATACCACTTTAAAGTTCAATTAATGTGTGTGTAATATACAGTAGGAATATTTCCCAGATACATCCTGTGGTGCTGAAAGGTCATTCATAACTGAAGATCAACCAAGCAGCGTTCTTTTTTTGAGACTCCAATTTTGATCACTACTAGTCTTGAGGATGACAGAAGGTAAAGAATGTGGACCAAGAGCTTTGCACTCTCACTGAGGGCGGCACTTAGAGATACAAGTATCCAACCCAATAGACCAGGTTAAAGAGCAGAAACGACGTGGGAAAGAAGACCCGGGAGTAGGAGTCCAGCTCTGCGATGTCTATGTGGATCCGCCCTTTTCTCCACGATCCCGACTTGCATTCTTCGTAGCAGCAGAAGAAGCTCTGACAGTCTTTGCCGTCCAGACACTCGTAGAGACAGGTGTCCTCGAACTCTTGCCAGTACACGGAGTTATTTAACGAGAGCATCGCAGGGGGTGGTGGCCTCATGTCAAGGAGAGAATAGGTCTGCAGGCGAAAAGAATAGCACAAAAGTCATCAGGAAATGCACCGAAAACAGCCCAAGGGGACAGTGAGCAGTAGACATGTGTCACCTGCTGCAGAGGGGGCGGACGGATGGACACGTCCACCGTGCAACTCCTCAGGGAGGTCAGAGGCGGCCCCCAAGGGGCAGCTTCAGCAAAGAGCACCAGGCTGCAACTCCAGCCTTGTGTTTGCCAGGTCATAACTGTGCGAGTGAAGGAAGCTGGCCATGTTTCCAAATATGTATCAGCCATGTCAGAGCTCTATTCTTCCTACTTTTCTTTTGGTTGTAAAAAATATGTACATATAAAATATTCTAAAATGTGAAGCAGTTCATGTATTAAATTGTGGAAGAATAAATGTGGTATTTTAAAAAATTAATATGTAGTAAAAATATAGCACATAGGAATGAGGAGGAAATACTCTGTTTTACGTAGTTTGGGTAAAAAAGACAGCTTTCAGTACAGGGAGTTGAACATAGCTTTTCATCCTAAGAGAGGTACCCTCCGGCGTGTATGATGGGAATATGTGCTTTCTGGCTTCCTAAGCTGCCTTCCTGACATGGGAAAGCTGGTGTGTGGCAGGTAAAGGAGTGAACGACTCACATGAGAGGCGTCCTTTCTAACCTCGAGACGTGTCTTAAGCTCAGCAGTTTTTCAGAGTTTGCCAAGTTCCCCCGGTAACTGGGATCCATGTATTAGACTGAGCCCCGTTAAGAGGTTATGATCTTAAATTTGACTGAATAACAGAAAGCATGCAAAAGCTTATTTGCCTGCCTGCTTCAGATTCACTTATGCTGGCTGAACAGAGGCAGGAAGACCCACAGAGGCCTGGAATCCAACATCGGAGGAGAGGTGGACACAGCTGTCCACCTCAGGGGTGACCAACTGGGCTGTTCCTTTGCCCTGGCTCAGCACTGTGCTGGGAAAGGGCCACTCAGAACTGTCAGGAAGCCTCACGAGAGACTCTCCTCCTGCTTCGCCTGGGGGCTGGGAACATGACTGCTGGGCCTTCTCTTTTTGGATTTTGATTTGACTGTGTTTGTGGCTATGTGGAGTCATAGGTCAGGGCGGGAAGGCTGAAATTTCCAGTGTCCAAAGTGACCACTCTCAGTCTTGTGGCGCAGCTTTGTATCAGGGAAAACCAGGTGTGATTCCTGACCTAAAGGAAGATGCTGTAGACCAGGCCACCGGCCCTGGGCCCTGCCTACTCCTCCTAAGTGTGGCCACTTATCCTGTGACAGGAGGGGTGTCACCACATGCTGTTTCCTGCCCTCCACAAGTCTTGGGAATGAGCAGAACTGGGAGTCCTGTGGTCCCTAAGACTCTGAGAAGAAGGAGGTTCCCCTACGCTAACGAATCTTGAAAATAAGTGGATGTGAAATCACCAGTTGGGGTGCTCTCTGCCTTCACCCCAGTGCGTCTGAAGAGTCTTGCATGGTTTCATAAGCATCTGTGAGGAAAACTGCCTTTATGGGATAATGATCACGTGAGAAGTTTTCCTTCATGCGTGCATTGCAGCCTCTGCCAGGTGTCTTCCCAGCCATCTGCAGTCCTGGGCACGGGCAGCCCCTGCTCCGGGGAGTACACTGTGGGACTGGACGGTCACACCAAAGCAGGGCAGCCTCAGGAGGCAATGATGACCAGGGCAGCCTCAGGAGGCAATGATGACCAGGCGGCTTGAGGGCCCTGCAGGGTGGGGACACATCTCCAGAGAACTGAAGGACGGCTAGAGGAGGCTGCAGGCGAAGCCACAGCTAAGAGAAAGCTCTCTCACTTCTTCATCTAGGGAACTAAAGCCACGGCCACTGAACCACAATAAAATAGCATATTCAAGAGAGTTCTGTGTTTTAAAAGTTTAGTGGTTGGAAATGAAGTGAATTCTATTTTTTGGGGTTGAAATAAAAGTTAGGATAAAAACTTAAACAGCTCTACAACTCTGTTTAAACTGTTTATAGGAATTCTGGCCACTTTCATTAATATTACAAGCTATGTGCAAGATAGAGGTCTTAATGACCGCTTCCCCCAAATCATCTTTGGTCAAGTGGGCCCCTGCCTGCTTCTCCGTCCCCAATGTGTATCAGGACACTCTGCGACCTCTCTGGAGACGACACTTCCTGGGCTCTGCTACATTAATTTTGCATTAGAGTAGAGCACAGAGTAGCAGGGCCAACTTCCCCAAGCTGCACACGTGGCTGTGGAGCCTGGCTCTGTGCCGCCCTTTCCCGGGAAGCTGCTCATTCTGCTTTTTGGGTGCTGCTGCTGGTGATGAACGAGAGGGAGGGTTGAGAGGGCGGCAGTTCTCCTCACCAGCTGGAGAGCTGCTTTTTAGTGGGAGGTGCTACACTGCAGTCCATCTCTGTCCAAACACCTCTGTGTTTTCACCTGGCTGGGCACCCTTTGTCTGTGAATTGTTTTTTATTGCACCTTCTTCAAGATCATTAAACTTTTAAGAAGTTTTTAAGTCTTTTAAGAAACTTTTTTTCTAGTTTATAGAATCCTTTTTTGTCTGTGTTGGGAGTTATTTTCCTTTCTTTAGGCAACATCATCTCTACAACTCCAGGCTCACAGGCCACAAGGGCGAATGTGCTCTTGGCCTGAGGCCATTAGTTCCAGTTTGCATTCCTCATCTGGCAGCCCTGCCTCTGTTTCCACCTGAGGCTGTCAGGATGCGTGAGATGGCTTCCTACACCTGTCAGGCTCGCTCGCCCTCTAACCTTCTGCCATGCACCATGACACACACTGTGGTGGACAGAGGACTAGAGTTTGCTTCTAAAACACGCATAAATGCATGAAATATGGCACTGATGAACCATCAGAATGTCACTTGTGCTGTACGCATGGGCATAAAATAGCATAATTAGTGAGCTGGTTGGTATAAAGGAACAAAACTCATAATTACACACGAAACTTGTTGTATGATGGAAGTGGCAATTCCTGCCTGTGATTTAAAGATACATTTCTCTATTTTTTAAAAACTACATTTTTACCTTAAACTTACAACCTCAGGTGTAGTGAGCATAACATAAGTAGATATACCTGACACAGTGTGAAGACTGCTACCTCCCTGTGAGGAGGAGGAAGAGAGGGAAGAAAAGGAGGAGGGAAAGGAGGAGGGGGAAGAGAAGCAGGAGGAGGGGGAGGAGCAGGAGGAGCAGGAGGAGGAGGAGAAGCAGGAGGAGCAGGAGCAGGAGGAGAAGCAGGAGGAGCAGGAGGAGCAGGAGGAGGAGGAGGAGAAGCAGGAGGAGCAGGAGGAGCAGGAGGAGCAGGAGGAGCAGGAGGAGCAGGAGGAGCAGGAGGAGCAGGAGGAGCAGGAGGAGGACCTTCCCCAGCAGAAGTGAGAGCAGAAGCCGCGACCAAAAAGGCTGACGGACTTGGTAATGTGCAACTCAGGACAAGTGTGCAGAAAAGGCAAAAGAAAGGACAACGACATGATTGCCTGTGACACAGGGGACACACACAGCCATAAGGCAACATCCCCAGTATACTCCACATGTGGCCATATAAATTATAGGTGTTCTCTAAGGTGTAATAGGAATTGATAAGCCACATGAATAATGGACACATTGCTACTTTACTATACTAACAAAACATTCAAGACCCTGCGAAGCAGCTCACAAAAATAGAACTATGAATCAGAAATAAACAAGAGAAAGTATTAAACTTTAACAGTACTCAGACTCAGCAAGGTAAGTCCACAGGTGTGCATTCTGCCGGTCCCTGATCCCAAGGCCAAGAGTTCTCAGTGCCAGCCGTGCAGCAAGGGGGTGGGGTACAGCAGGGTGCTGGGGAGTGGGGGCTGCAGGGCCGCCATTGGCAAGGACCACACAACCCCTTTGCCCCCCTCACTCTGTTCTAGGAGTTTATAACTAAGCAGACTGCCACAGGGACATGAAAAGCGGCAGCAGTAAAAATGCACACATCAGGGAAACATTCTGGATAAGCCCGGTATCCAGCCACGGTGGCCTAGGCTTCTTGTATGAGCACACAATCCCATCATGATAATCATCCTATGGAGTATTTACGACACAGAAACCAAAGTACGTGTTTTTAGTTATCCAAGAGGCTAGAGAAAACTACATAGATGACAATTTAGTTCTTTTCAACACATGAGTATATATTATTTGAATGCCCGGAAACAAGTTAGAAATACGTATATGTAGGCCATACACCAACCTCAATGTATAAGGATTACGAGTAATTTTCTCCTGCATTTTGCAAATGTTCCAAGGTGGTTTTTCTTAAAGTAGTAGGAAACACATTTGTGCCTTCGATTCATGCCTACCAAAACACGCAGTCTTAAGTTTAGGAAAGTTCCCAGAAATACTGGTGTGGGTAGGGCTATACATACTGAGGGTGTCTGTAGGCTGATGCGCTCATGAATCCATCTTGAAGACTCTGGATGTAACAACTGCAAGAAAAGAAAAGAATTAGAGAGCTGCTGTGGGTCTCTATCCCAGAACACTCTAGTTAGGAAGCGATCTTTCAGGTACTCCTAAACCAATCCAGGCTAGCAGAGGCTGGCACTGGAGGGACAGTGAGGGGACATGCACATCTCCAGAAACACAGCGCAGTGTTTGAAAGTCTTGTTGAATTGTTTATATCACGTGTTCTACGGTATCCAGGCGAACATAATTTAAACACCTTTATTTTAAACGAACCTCTCAGTCACTTTCCAGGGAGCCCTTGCTAACTCTGCTACTCACTGATGTTTTTTTCTTTGTCGTGGCTGGTTTCCTGCAGCTGGAGTAGTAGTTGAGGGTGGCATATTCCATCAGGGCGGCAAAGACGAACAGGAAGCACACGGTCACGAAGAGGTCCATGGCCGTCACGTAGGACACCCGTGGCAAGGAGTTCCTGGCAATGGTGCTGAGCGTGGTCATGGTGAGCACAGTGGTGATGCCTGCACGGGGGACACAGCCACCATGAGGAACCCAAAAGCTTCCCGACAGCCCCTTATCTAACCTGGCACACGGATGTGACTCCTTCGGTCAGTTATTTCTAAATTTAATTTTACTTTTGTTTTTTTGATGCGGGGTCTTGCCTGGAACTCCTGGCCACCTGCTTTCTCCGCCTCCTGAGTGCTGGGATTACACCTTCACGCCACCAACCTGGCAGCTACTTTTAATTTTAACGTCTAATTTGTAAGCAAGGCTTCAGTAAAATTTCTGATACTAGACTTTACAATTACAGGGAAGTGCTGACGTTCTCGGGCCCATTCAACTTAAATTTTTCTTCTTTAATGATCTGAAGTCAATATGCGTTCAGCAGAAACTACAGTTGGAAGTTTGGGAATTTTTCTGGGTCAGTGATTCTCTCTCTCAATGGCGAGTGGCAGCAGGAGCCTTGGCCGGCCAGCAGCCCTGTGACCACAGGGGGAAGTGAATGACGCTCTCACTCTCCAGTGCACGGTGCTGCCGGCTGGACGTTCAGCAGGGCAGGTGTATGAGGGGCATTTTGTTTTAAGACATTTTCAACTCACGACTGTCACAGATTAAGGTGCAGCTGTATCTAAGTGACTCCTTTTTAGTTTGTTTAGTGATTCACTTATCATTCATCATTTTGTCTTGTAATATTTTTAAAATGAAAATGCAGCTCGCAGTCCTCCCAGGGACGGTGCGCGTTTCCCCATCTCACCTATTTCTCCCCCTACATCACCTCCTTTCTTCCTGCTTCGCCCGCCCTCTCCGGTGTGTAACCTCCCCTGCCCGGTGGGCTCCAGCACTGCTCTTCCGAGCTGCTTTCCTGACGGCACCCAGACAGAGCCTACACTGAGCATCTCCCGTCTGTGCGATCCCCTCACGTCCGTGTGTCTCGCTCGCCCTTGTCTTTCGCCTCGTGACAGTGCACTGCATCTGTCTTTCCATGCTTGGCTCTGTGAAGAGGCAGTGTGATCTTTAAAAGCAAAACTAGATCTTTTAGATTGTGTGATTTTAAGAGCAAAACTGGATCTTGCGGTCTCTGCTTGTTGTCCAGCAGAGCAGTCAGCATACCTGGGCTGTAAGTGGATTTTTTTTTGCTTTGAATGACAATTGGTAATCAATTTAGCCATAGTGCTATTGGTAATCAATATTGATTTGACTTTCACCAGTAAACTCACAGTTTTAGCCTTTTCATCGATGCACAATGATTATTTTGTGTGCATGGCTGTAGGTGGCTGAAGTGAGTTTATGTGACATATTTTTAAGTGTTGGGTTTCAAAATGCCAAATAGGAACACAAACAATACTGCTCAGATCCCCCATGCCTCTGCTGAAGCTTTGGTGTGTGCACTATTGATACAGAGTCTCTCGTACATGCGGGCTGCCTTCTGGGACTCTGTGAATGCATACCATGTCCTATGCATACCACACTCCCCGTATACACATCTGCAAATGTCTTTATGAGGTGACAGAACATGTGGCGACCGCTGCTGCTGAGTGCCATCCAGCAGAAAGGGGGTAAAATATTACAGGTTGTCCTTGGATACTGAATTCACTGGATATGGCACCATCTGCTCCTGGCCCCTCCCTGAAGACAAAAAGACCATGAAGGTAAATACTTGCAGTCAATTCAGGAATCAAGGAGCCTGACAGTACAATTACACACACTCATGAGAAATGACTCCTAGAACTGCTCCAGGAAATGGCAGGCACGATGGGACAGGTGTGTTGAGACTGAAGAGGAGTATTTTTAGAGGGCTTAATGACAAAGCATCTTTTACTGCAAAGACTTTTTTGAAAACAAATAATCATTCATCATATTTTATGACCACACTTCATACGATAAATCTTGCTTTATAAATGAGCACAATAAAGGAGTTGAAAAGATAATAGAACAATTATAACAATACACTGTGCTAAGTCCTGGGACCGTCCTCTGTCTCTCGTGACACCTCTGCTGCACGGTGCTCAGCCTTCCTCTGCTTGTGATGGTGTGAGGAGGTGCTTCCTGGTAAGATGGGTGAGCGGACTGACACCAGCAAGCATCCCAGCGGACCAGTTTTCTTCTTTACTTATGACATTTGCCTTTTAAAGGAAGCCCTTTGTGGCTTCTCTTTGGCACATCCAAACTGCCAGCACCCCACCTTTTGCACGGTAAGGCTATTGTTAAGTAAATGAGGGCTTCCTGAGCACAAGTACTGCAATATCGTGACAGCTGATCTGCTCACTGTGATGGGCTGAGCACCGTGTAAAGCAAGAATCTGCTGGACAAAGGGCTGCCTCACACTCCTGGTGGGGTGAAATGGACGGTTTCATTGCACTGCTCAGAATGGGCTGAAAATCAAAACTCACAAATTGTTATTTCTGGAATTTTCCATTTACTATTTTCAGACTGCAGTCAACTATAGGCTGCTGAAACCATAGAAAGCAAACCTGAGAGTAAAGTAGGACTGCCTTGGAAATACATTAAAATCTTCAGTTCTGGGTGTGCTTCTTAGCTGTGGTAAGTCATCCTGAGTCAGACTCGCCGAGCAGAGTGGTCAGGCTCTGAGAGTGTCTGGGGATGCACACCGAGGAGCAGAAGCAGGGATGGTGCCCCGACTGTCCCCTCCAGTGACCCACAGCAACCCTTTGCTTTCAGTTCCCTTGACCTCATTCTCTGTTCTCCCAGAAATCTCAGTGCTAGAAGTGGCAAGGTTTGTACCAGGAGCATGCAAGCTCGACAACGATTCCACCGAAATGGAAGCTGAGACTTTCCCTTGGTTATTTCAGACCCACCATGCTTCTGAGTCAGCAAGCAGAAAAGGGGTGACTGGATGGGCAAGGCCACTGACCATGATGGCCAAGAGAAGACTGGACCATACAGTGGAGAGAAGGGAAACTACACTTGGAGGGCAGGAGACCCCTTAGGGTGTCTCCTGATATCACCATGCTGTCATTAATATCAAGGTCAACGGGAAACTACTAAAGCAGAACTCTGGAGAGAAATTTAGCTTCTGTCTCTCTCTGAAAAATGTTCCAGCCCTGGCAAGCAGCTCCTCGGGCACCCCTTCCTCAGGAAGGTGGCCTTGCGTTTTCTCTCTGTGGTCCATGCTTTCCTCATCGATAAGGGGACCCTCCAGGTGGTTCTCTCTGGGAAGTCTCCTCTCTTACAGGGCAACCCTGGGTACCATCACAGATAAAACTAACACCTGGGGTTACGAACAGGCTTCACAGCACCCTGCACCCTGATATGGCAGGATGTGTTTTCTGTCGTGGCTGAGAGAGGGCCAGCTGCTAGGACCACTGACTGCCTTTGTGTCACTTCTGTACCTCTACTTGCTGTTGCCACAAATCATGTGAAAAGTACCTCTCCTGGGTGCAGGGCCCCACTTGGTTCTGCACATTTTTAGTGTCTGGAACGGTAGCCACTAAAGTCCTCCAGAAAAGTCCCTCTGGTCTCATTAATTTCCCACAACTCAATCCAGCAGGTCGTTAAACGCCTCGGAAGCTTTGAGAATAAAAGTGTGACTGCCAAGGGAAGGACCAAGGTCTGCGGGAGGCTGCTGAAGGCCAAGGAGACACAGACAGGGCAGAGGAAGCAGGCAGTTAAAAACACCCACTGCGACCGCGTGACCAGTTACAGAAACGAGGCCTGCAACCGCTGTGTTTCTTCTCTGTTTGTTACTAAGCTTGTGTATGCACACACATACATTAAGCAGGTATCTTTGCTTTCTTTCTTTGTAACAGAACATTTATTGACTAGATATTGGTATTCGATGTTTAATTTTCTGTCTGATTTATTGCAATTAGCTAATTAACTTGCATTGATATTTTTTGTGGTTTCAGATTTCTGTGATAATTCTCTCAATTTTTGTTTTATTAAATTGTTTTTCTTCTAACAAGATGTTAGAAGTATGCATAACTTGGAGGGGTACAGGACTTTGAGTGGTAGGTGGTTTTCCTTAAATGTCCGTAGTTTAAGGATAGAATTTGAGATGCTATGGTCTCCATGACTGCACAGGAGTGACGGGCTCTCAACAGTAGTTTTGGTCCTGCACTCAAGAGTTTTTGTTTCCTTGCTTTCCACACTTGGATTAAAATGATTTTCCTTGTATTTCACCTGCTTAAATTTCACTAACATAATTTACAGGTTTGTGGTTTTTAATAAATTTGAATATTTTTTGCTTTGTTTCTTCATAATCTTTCAGCCTCATTCTTTTTATCTTCTCGTGTTGGGAAAAGTTCTTACAGTTATGTAATAATTATTCATCGTATAAAGCAGTTTCCTGAGACTCTATTCACTTTTTAAAAATGTTACCCTTCCCGTTTCACGTCAGATGTATTTTATGTGATAATCTTTACATTTACAAAGGTTTTCTCCTGCCGTCCTCAATCCGAAGCTGCTATTGTCTCTTCCAGTTCACATACTACACATCTTCTCTATTGAGAAAATTTATCTCCTGACTCATTAAGGTTATATCTTTCTTTAAAGCCATGGACATTGTTATAATATCTGTTTTAAAAGTTTTATGTCTGCTAATTTAATGTCAAAGTTGTCTTTTTCAATTACCATTTTATCATGGGGAATGTCTTCTTGCTTCTTGGACTGTATTATAATTTTCACTATATGCTTACTACTGTACACATTATATTTTAAACAGTACATTGATTGCTTTCCTACGACAGCTATTTTATCAGCTACAGTCCTTGATCTCGTCATGACGTGGTTCAAACTCTACTTAAAGGCGTTGTAAAGTGCCTCTTTATTTCTAGGCCTAGCGTCTCATTAAATATGATTGTATCAGTAAAGTTCCGCCACACTCTGGGAACACTGTCTGACAGCGTGACATAATTCTGTTCTATCTGTCCACTTGGCCACACAACAGAAGTAGTGCAAGCAGAGCTGTGTATTGCATCAAACTGAACTCTCAAGGTTCTGCTTATAAAGACGCACATCCGTGGAGGACTCACTAAACTTGTGTTGATCTCGTTGCCTGTGACTTACCAGTTCTAGCATACATTTTCCATCACAATGCAAATGAATATTGGCAGAGTACACTTCAGGCTGACTAATCTCTGGCAAATGTACGTAGTGTCAAAGCTTAAAAAACTCAAACACAGAAAAGCACAAGGTGATATGAGGGACTTCACAAGGATTTGGAATTCAGACAGCCTGTTCTTTCCTGAAGAAAATATTTTGGGAAAAACAACATCTATATTCGGTCTCATCTCATTATCAGTGTCACAAAACATGGAAAATAAAGAAAAATTCTCACTAAAACTGAAATAAGCTTTTAAACAATTCTAAAGCTACTGCAATTTCGGGTTTTGTTAAGAGGAATACGAGGGTCACAAAAAAACTCATGAAAAGACCGAGCAAGATGTGTGATTACTTCTGAAAAGAATGGCCATTTTTCTTGTTTGCTGCCCAAGTTGTAACACAGCAGGGAGCTTTTTTGACAGAATATTTTACAAAGATTGTGTTTCCAGTGCTCAAAGGCCTGCATCAAATTGTTTCCTTATATATACTGACATAATCAGTTTTTTGAGTTCCAAGACACAGCAGCATTTTTCTGGTGACATCAACCTTAAAGCTTAGTATCAGCTAATGCAATTGATTTCTTGTGATTTCCTAAGTCACCATAAATAGCACCCATGGAATTCTGTTGTTAGAAAGAACAACCTCATTTGGATACTTAAAAAATTTAAAACATATTTTTAGGCTTATAGATGCCTAGAACTTCACCTAAAGAGTTTACAAGAATTGATTTTATTATGTGTGATGGTATAAACAGCTACACTGAAGAAAATCAGACACTATGGTAGCCATTGATTATTTCCTGTCATTTGTTTTGAAGTGCAATAATGCTTTCATTCTTGGTTTTGATTGGTTTTAGTCTGTTCTCAATAATTTGATTTCAATATGTATGATGGTATGGATAACTATTTTGAAGAAAACAAGAGACATTATGGTAGCCACTGTTGATTCCTTGTTGTCTTGTTCTGAAATTCTGTGTTATGTGCATTGTTTTGCTCTGATCTGCTTTGTTCTGTTTTGTTTTATTCTCTTTAAAATAAAAAAAAATTTAAAAGTTTAAGTGGCTCTCAAGTTAAATCATTGTATTTGGACTGACTCTTTAATTGAAGATATTTTTATGAATTCTTCTGCATTAAAATTACACATTAAAATTATGGAAGACAGTTTTGGAAACTTACCTAATGCAGTTCTTGCTGGTGTAGCATCTTTTTTGATCCAAAATGACACCCAGGATAAGACCACGGTGAGGATGCAGGGGATGTACGTCTGAATGGTGAAGTAACCCATTCTTCTACTTAGCTCGAAGTAGATCGTCATGACTACGTAGTCACCTGCAAGAGAATGCTGCCAATTTCAGCCAGCTTTCTTGGGTTAAAATAGTTCAGGGAAATCACTTATAGTTAATAACAATTTATAATTCACTTATTTTGCAAAATGAATGACTTGAAAAAAATGTACAACTATAGCAATATCGAGTAAAAAAAAAAGATTACAATGGTGGTGGTCTTCAATTGAACTTTTACAGTACCCCCGGTCTTTGCAAGGCATTTTATTACACCCTGTGCAGGGCACAGAAGCAAACATGAGTTGACAGACTGGTAGACATGCATGTCTATTCCATAACAGGCTGAGACTGTTATTACCAGACTTCGTCTGTGCATTGCATGATTACAATCAGGGGTAATGTAGACTCAACCCTCAAACAGATCCTGAGCCATATTATGGATTTTTCCAATAATACCCTATCATATATAAATTTGTATAATGATTTTATATTTTTATTTTACAATATCAGAAATTTCAGCTTACTAATTTTGCACTTTATATTTTATTATTCACTTATTTTATCCTTTTATAAGTCCAGCATTTGGGCTGTCCCAAATCAGAAATAAAAAGAGGAAATTATTTCAAAACATTGTCTTCTCTCCTACTAAAGCCAAAGCCATGCCACACGGGAGTTAGAAGCCAGGTAGATATTTCTGGAGACCTTCTAATTTTCTCTGGGAATCTAGAGGAAGGCATAGGCTTAATGAATTGTACATAACCTTCTAAAATATTCAATTATTTTTAAGGCTACTTTTGGCTGAGATTTTGTCTCTTGTCTTCCTCATCTGGACCTTCTAATCTTCAGACCCTGGACTCGGGCTTTGCAGCCCAGGAAGCTCATGTTGTCAACACTGAACACTCATGCATGTCTGCTTTCCATTCGGGTCTTTCTCTTGCTCACCTGGAAAAGCCAGGGCCACCTTTGCCTCCTCCTGTTCTTTCCTTAGTGGTTGCACCTGCTGCACTGCTCTCAAATCCTTTTCCCACCTAGTCCAAGGTACTGTCACCTAGCAGAGGCCCAAGGGTGTCTCCCAACAGCCAGTCCGTCTCTGTTCCAGACCATTCCATGTCCCGCCACTGAAAAGTTCATTATTAAATTACAGATATCATTATTTCCTTTACACCCCACCAATAACCTCGTGTCCTCGTACAGTGGTCATACTTTTCCTGTAGTCCACACCGTTCTGCCTTTCCACCTTCTATAGGACTAGCATTTTGTCAACCCAGGTCCTCAGACTGGCCGAGGCCCTTCCCATAGACCACCTCTACATCCTCTCCTATCTACAACTCTCTCTTTTTCCTCATCCTTGCAGTTAAGTATCTCCTACATGTCTTTAATATCAACTTACAAATCCCTTAGTTATCCAGGAAGTCCTTTCTGAATTCACTCTCAACATTTGCAATGCATACAAATGATTAATATCATATCCGTCTTCAAATAAATCAGTCATTTGGGTGATGAACTATGTCCCTCTTAATGTTTTTGCCTCGTGATAAGCAATCAATTAGCATTTGCTGAGTGAAAAGAACATCACTGCGGCTCCAATTTTGTTCAGAACATTGACAAGGGGATTAACTCAGGCTCCATGGCAATAATGATTCTAAATAAATTAGAAATGCTTTTCAGGATGCAATGCTTTGTTGCATTCAGGATTGATGATAGAAACATCAACTTTGAGGTCATTTTCCAATAAAGATTTAAATTTTTAAGCATTTCAGCACAAAGGAATCAAGATGATTAATCTAAAGCAATAAAAGCCATGAAAATATTTTGTTTTGAATAAAATGAATGCCAAAGATAAATTGTTTAGTGGAGAAATGTTATTGAATAATTTTATTTAAAAATCCCTTCGAACTTTTACATATAATTACAGTCCAAATTATAGGAAAAGCAAACACAAAAATAAAATATAATAAATAGAGTAATGGAGATAACTCAAATGAAACATTCAAAGACTGGAGTAATTTCTGCAATTATTGCTGCTGTAAGTACCGGTAAGTAACAGATGGACGGTAACAAAGCAGATGCTCGTTCAGCTCACCAAATCCATCTGCTTTTTCCCCACCAAGGAAACGGGCTGCGTCACACCTGGGATCAGCCTACACATCTGCCTAGCTCAGGGGTCCACCTGGACCCTGGGCACCATGAAAAGGCTCTGCCTGTCCTGGAGCTGAGCACCTGGCAAGAGGAGGACAGCTGTCGCCCCCACAGCTGCTATGGTGGGAGCACAGGCGCACACATGCACAGCCTTACCAGAGTGGAGGAAGGGTCAGCACCAGGCAAAGCTCCAGTGCTGGTTCCTGGTGTGCGCAGAGCTACCAGGGACGGAGGGGAGGCTGCAAAGTGCCCCTGGAATCCTGTAGACATTCCAGAGGGGAGGCTGGAGCTGAAGCAAGGTTTCAAAAATCTCAAATACTTGTTTTATTTATTTTATTGGACAGATACTCAACTTCAAAATTGCTTTTTAGCATTGAATATGTTAATAACAATTTGCCCCAGATTGAGGGTAGCTGGGAAGTTACAGAAGTTCTTGGAAACACTGCAGCGGAACAGTTAGACTTTCCTTTTCTCTTAGTCTGTTTCCCTTGCGTCCTTTGTTCATCCCTTCATGCATAAGTTCCTTATCTGGTAGTTCTTACCATCACAAAGCGATGGACATACGTTTTCTGTCTTTGATCAAGTTCTCAACCTTTGGTAGGCTCTGACAGGGTCAATCTCAGACAAGCCAGAGTTAGAGCAAACCAGTGCGGGACACTACGATGGGTTAGGTTGGGTGAGTGCCCATTACTGGACACGTGGACTTCAGCTTGGAAAAGCCACGAGATACAGTGGCAGCCCCAGGGCGGTGTGGGAGACAGAAGTTTCCAGAGAAGATGGCTCTGTTCACAGATAGTTTGCTCGACAGAGACAGCGGAAGACCTGGAAGCACCATGGAAATATGTGTGATTTTCTCGTTGCACTATTTGAATACACCCTGAGGCTTATGTACATGCTTGCCAGAGAAAGTAAAATTACTCCAAGTAAACTTCTAAAAGTATTAAGAATGCATGCAGCACTGCAGAATCACAGGACTTGGCTCGTTTAAAGACATTTTCCCCTATTTCACTAAGTTTTATGTTTGTAAAAACATTTTAACAAATCAGTGGATAGATAATAAATTAGTATGCAAAGGGATGGTGATGAGAAGGGTTTTAAAAATGGTTACCAGCTGCTGAGATTTTATCTCCCACCTTCTCTTTGCACCCTTTGCATCCTTCTCCCCTCAGCTGATAGATTCAGCCTTTGGACCATGTTCATAAAATAACAGATATCTGAGAAAATTTTCCATTTTAAAATTCTAGGTTCCTGTTTTAAAATCTGCCTGTAAAAATTATTTTATTTTGGAAAATATAATTCTGCTTAAGGAAGTGATCTTCCCAGAAAATTAAGAGAAAGCTTTTATAGAACACTCCAATATAACGTGGCTTGCTTTAGAGACCAGAATGTACCATCTTGTGGGGGTGGAAGCAGTGGGAGCCACAGACCCACTTCTACCAGGATGAAAGTGCCTGGTGCCAGCCCCCCTCCTCCGGGATTCACTGGCGCTTCCCACTCACAACGCTGCTGCTTACTCTGCGTCATTTAAAGCCTGCCAAGCTCTTCTAACTAGCAGACAATGGTCAGCAGTGCTGAGCACAGAAAACGCCTCATCTTTCCTGCTTTATTCTTCAGGTTTTCCCTTGATGTCTTTTTATTTTGTCGATGGCACCCACTAAAAAATTAATTTTACGGAAACTGAATTTATCAGTTAGGGTCATCCTTGAGCATCTGTTGCCTTGGCCATGGTCATCAAGTCTTCTTAGGCACATTTTGCTCCCTTGTTCCACTTGTCCTGATATGCAACTAATTCTTCTCCTAATCAAATTTTAAACATTTTGTGATTCATGGTCACAATGAAAGTATTGCTGTCTCTACAATTCCTGACTTTTATCCACGTGCTCATCTTTGCAAGGATCTATTTATACACACTGATTCCTACACTCCTGCCACATGATCTCAGCTGCTGCAAGCACGGGAGACACAAGCGGGGTGAGCCCCAACTAGCTACAGGCTCCTATAACTCCATCCTCCTGCCCTGACCAGAAACCACGGGCTTCATTTTAACCCACGGAACAGCACAGGACGCTCCTGTTACTATGTTACTTTATAAGGGAAAGGTTATGTGCATTGTGCAAATGTGATTATTACACCGAATCTATTGATTTAAAATTAACACAAAGGGAGCTCGCCCTAGTGGCTCTGATGGAACCTGAGAGCGGGACCTTTCCTGAAGACACACGCCCTCCTCCACCCGAAGAAGCCAGCCACCACGAGCACTACAGCTGCAAATCATGCTGAATTCTGACTGCAACCTGAGAAGGAAAGAGACCCCCAGGCACGCCAGGCTCGCCTCCAGGATGAGAGTGAGGCAGCCTGTGCGAGTCTGAACAGAAGGCCCAGCGGAGCCACACCTGGCCTCAGAACTGCTGCACCACACGGGTGTGCTTCACCCCAGTGGAGTGGCGGTAGCTTGCTCCAGGGAGGTAGAAAACTACAACGGCAGTGACCGCTTGTGGGGCAGCCTGCAGCCCGAGTGCTCTTCGCAGACACAATTTGCTAGTCTTGAGTCTCAGTGCAGAATCAATCTGAAGAGTCCATCTATACACACTTACACACTGTTAGTATTTTATTGGAACGTGTTATCCTGTGAACTACCTGAAAGAGCTCTTAAGAAAAGGACAGCTTTGGTCCTTGTGAGGTTTCACCTGTTTCAATTCGTGTATTTTTCAAAGAAAAATCAAACTTCTTCCCAGACAGTCTTACTGTCTCTTGTTAGATTTAATTCTTTTTTTTTTTTTTTTTTTGTCTTTTTCCTTTTTATCAGTACCAGGGATCGAACTCACAACTGCCTGCTTGCAAGGCAGGCGCTTATGCCACTGAGCTAAATCCCCAGCCCCAGATTTAATTCTTGATATGTATATTTCT